ATCCACTTGTAAAACCAGATGTGGCTCTTCATGGCTTCTCCTTGCTTCCTAATAAAAAAAAAATTCTTTAAAAGTCTCCCGTATCTCTCCATGCATAATATCAAAGTTACTGCATCCATATGGCTGAATACCCAGCACTCTCATTATGTTTGGGGTGGACTATATAACTAGTATTACTTTCTAACAAAAGTGTCTTGAACTTAGAGGAGGCTATACTGAGAAATACAGTTGGTATTTTTAATTCTCCTGCTCCCAAGCTTCTTGATGCCACATTATACTTCCTACGCATGCAATCTGTGGGAACAAGGTGTAATGTCAAAGAGACACACTGGAGATTTCGCTCCTTGGCCCTCCCCTGTGTTGACCCTGCTGCTTCCAAACTCTGATGCGATCCAGGCATCAGACTGAAGACTCTTCCCTGTGAGGGAGGAAATGTCCCCATTCACCAGTTGTCTGTCACTGTCCATCAGCAATTGACTTCTGGTTCCCAGGAGTGAAGGGGACTCAAGTGAGAGCTGGGGGTGAGGTAGAGGAGGGGGCCCTTTGTGTTGTTTTGGTTCCCTCCCAGGTGGTCTGCAGCTGGAGGGCAACTTCTGCCTCCCTCTGGCCTCTGACAAGGTGTGGAGAAAACGGTATTTCCCGAGGCTTCAAGAGAAGAGGAACTGGTGACAGGTCAGCAGAACAGACTCACTGGAGTGTGGGTCGCTCCCCTTGCCCTCTGCAGCCTTTTTCCCCCAGCTGGGTCTCCCAGTGCAGGGACCTCTGATACTGCCATGAGGGAGCCACGCAAGGCAGGGAGGAGCAGTCAGGGAAAGCACCGGGGTGATGCCCACACACCCTCAACTCCTCACCTGTTCTCATTCCTTTTTAAATTTTTTAGATTTTAATTTCAGAGATCCAGGAGTGCCTCTAGCCTCATTTGAGTCACACATTTATTATTACCCCTTTTATGAGTGAAGAATGTTCCTTGGTTTCTGTTGAACTGTCTGGCAAGCAAGGCAGTTAGGTCATTGTTTACGCCCTTTGTGGAACTGGCTGAGTCTAAGCAATTTTTGCCCCTGCAGACTGCCCTCTGCATGGCTGGTGACCCATGACCCTTGACCTACACATCATGACCCTTGCCCCTCAGCTTTCCTGGCAAGCTCGGCTGATGGAATCCAGAAGGCTGTCAGAGGAGACATCAGCTTCCTGAGTCCCTGGCTCCCGGGGTTCTGGTCCACCTGGGCCCTCCTTCTGGCTTCTGAGATTGTAGTGCACGCAGTAAGAGCTTCCTGAACACAAGTGAGGGGCAGGACTAGCTTTGCTTTCCACTGTGGCTTTGTCCGACCTGCCCACGCCTTTACCACTATGCCTCCTTTTCCTAAACCTGATTATCAAATGTCCTCACTCCAGCAACTCTCCTTTCTGTCTTCTGCTGGGACTCCAAGGCATTATCGTTGTAGGTGAAAAGAATCCATTAATGCATGATACTGCCCATGAGAGCTATGGACATCAGAGATGGAAAAATGAATGAAGAATTTAGGTGCAATGCCCCATCTGCCCCCCCAAAGGTCACCCTGATGAGCCAGAGATGGGCATGCGGTCAGGAGCAGCTCCCCTGTCCCTCCAGCTTCCTAGCCTGGCTGTAAGCACAGAAGGATGAGTCTCTGGTTCTGCTACTGCCTGGCACCCCGAGCAAATGGACCCTTTACGCCTGCCAGGATGAGCTGTCTTCTGCCTTGGAAGAAGGCATCTTAAAATTCCAGAAAGTTTCACTGCCCCTGCGGACTGTGGAATAAGTCTAGAGATTAAGGAATCCAATGGTTTTATAGCATGCAGCAAGCAAGCCTTCTCTTTGGAGAGTTGAGGACCGAGACGTATCACCTCATCTCCTATAAGAGTGATGAGGATGGTGGCAAGACAGGAGACACGCCTTGAAAGCCATCTGGCAGACGGCGCTGGCTGCCAACTCTCCACATCTCACTCAGACAGCCATTATTTATGCCAATAAGAGTAAGTCCTGGTGGGGTCCTGCGCAGAAGCTTAGCAGCTAAAGTCCTTGCCTTGCACATGCAAGGAATGTGTGGTTCTAATCCTGGTAGCCCCGCTTCCTATCCAGCTCCCTACTTGTGGCCTGGGAAGGCAGTTGAGGACAGCCCAAAGCCTTAGGTCCCTGCACCCACAGGGGGGACCCAGGAGAGGCTCCAGGCTCTTGGCTTCGGATCGGCATAGCTCCAGCCGTTGTGGCCACATTGGGGGGACAGGGAGGTGAATCAATGGATGGAAGATCTTCCTCTCCCTTTTCTTTGTATATCTGACTTTCCAATGAAAATTAAAAAAAAAGTCACACACATAGAGAAAAATCATCTACTGGTTCACTCCCCAAACGACCACAAACGGCCAGGGCTGGGCCAGGAGTCCGAATTCCATCCAGGTCTCCCATGCACTTAGGTCAGCCCCGCTGCTTCTGCTGCTGCAGGAACAGCCAGCTGGATCTGAAGCAGACCAGCCTATCCTCCACCAGGTGCCCCAGTGGGAGATGCTCATGTCCCCATCGTAAGCAGTAGTGTAGCCCGTGGAGTCATGGTGGCCAGGCTCTGCCGACAGTGTTGCTGTGGCCTCCAACACACATGGACAGAGTTCCTGGGTACACTGAGGGCTGATCGTTGCAGCATGGCAAGGGGATGAGTTGTCACAGGGGTGTGTCGGAATACATCCAGCGGGGTGGCTGGGACAGCAGAGGCCTGTGGGATCCTGTTGAGAAGAGGCGTCAGGACAGAGGAGGTCAGGACCTCTCATCCAGAGAGCACCCTTGCCCCCAGTGAGTCCTTGGATGGGATTTCATTCTTCCCTGCTGTATGGCAAACATCTGTGCCCAGTTAGCCAATTATCTTAGATCAAAGTAGCGTTCCTTATCAACATCTCTCATCAATGGTGCTTTGATCCTGGTGCCTTCTTGGCTCTCCTGGAACTCCCTGCTCACACACCTGTGATGCGAGTTGTGTATCAAACCTGATCACAGGAACCGATGTCTGAGCTGAGCTATGTTTGAAGTGTTGCTTTGCTGAATGCATTTAAACTGGAGCCCTGGGAATAAAATTGGTCAGTTGTCTAAGACAGCATTGTCCCCCCATTTCTTTTCAGTCGCATTTCCTCCCCAGAAATCCACAAGGTAAGCTTCCAAGGGTGCTGCCAACCCTGAGAGTATAAGTCAGGGCTGGGGGGACACTGAGCCCAGGCAGGCCTCTGCTGCAGCCGCCATCACCATCTCTGTCTCAGGGGACATGCAGCCAGCCGTGCCTCATCTCAGGAACTCTCATCAGGAAGAAACAGAAGTTACATGATGCCCGAAGCCTTTCGCTCCTGCACCACACACACACACATTGTGCCTCCTTGCAGAGCCTAGCAGACAGGGATGGGAGACAGGAAGGGAGGTCTTCCATTTAGTGGTTCATTTGCCAAATGGTCCTGATGGTCAGGACTGGGCCAAGCTGAACCCAGAGCCCAGAACTCTGTTTGGGTCTTCGACGAGGGTAGTAGGTGCTTAGCCACACGGGCCATGCGCTGCTGCCTTCCCTGTCGCTTTAGCAGGGAGCTGGATCAGAAGTGGAACACCAAATCAGAACCACAGGCACATTATTAGCCTGCAGGCTCGTGCTTGCATTAAAATCACACATTGACACATTCCTTCTCTGTGTTTTATTTACACAGCATCCTATGTCTTTCTGTGGCAAAGGATGTTTCTGTTTTTAATCACAGAAACTACAATTATCCAGTTTATCCTTCATTTGTTTCCCTTCAGGTAACCTTAGAATATGTCTTAGGCTGGGGTTGGCCTTGTGGCACAGTAGGTTAAGCTGCTGATCACAGCACCAGCATTTTAGCACCAGAGGGGCTTCTTCAAGTCTCAGCTGCTCCGCTTTCTATTCAGTTCCCAGCTAATGCTCTGGAGAAAGCAGCAAAGAATGGTCCAAGTGCTTGGGCATCTGCCACCCCATCTAGGAGATCTAGATGGAATTCTGGGCTCTTGGCTTCAGTGGTACCACAGAAAGAGAAGAAATGGATGCTCCAGTGGTTTTTAATCTAGAGGGAAAAGATGTGTGAGAAATCATGGTGTGAGTTGTGCCACCATACATCAACACACGAGCAAGGCAGGCCCACGTGGGAAATCCAGTAAAGCTTCCTGAGGTGGTGACCTTAGGTTGAGAGCCACTTGGAGAGTTTGGCTCACAGGTGACATCTGCTGAGTCCTTTTCCTCCCAGCTCTGTCTGAGCAGGAGTTGATTGGAAGATGGATCAGGTGATGTAACAACAGTAAAATCTCGGCCCTACTTGTGGGTGTCAAGGGGTCCTCTAGAGGGAGCCAGATGATCGAAGGACGAAAGGAAAACAACCCCCCTGGCATTTTCGGCCCCGGTGTCATTTATACAGCTTTGTAAGCATCTGACTTGACCCTAGCACCCAACTCCTCATGTGTGAACCCTCACTGGTCAGAACGTGGTTTTATTTCCAGGCAACTCATGAATTTTTTCCTCCCTTGATGTAGAAATGAAACTCAAGTCTGCTAATAGCACCTGCATGAAGATAACAGTTCAGATCTTTTCATGCAATTGAACTGTAGTGCTCTCCTGGGTAAGGCTTCTTTCTCATTTGAACCCCAATTCTCACAACCATATGGCTACATTTCAAAAACAAAATTATGGGGTGGGAGGGTGTGTCTTCCACCTGCTGGTTCACTCCCTGAATGGCTGCAATGGCCAGAGCTGGGCCAGGTCACACTAAAACCTGGAACTGCATCTGAGTCTCCCACATGGGCAGCAGCGAACCAAGCCCTTGGATGTATTAAGAGGGAACTGGATCCATCAGAAAGTGGAACAGCCAGGACTCAAACTAGCACCCCTATGGGATGCTGGCCTCCCAGGTGATGCTCTAAGCCAGCGCAGCACAGCACTGACCCCTGAATACACACTTTTTTAAGAATGAAATGCCTTTGAGACTGGCATTTGAATTATTTCAGAACATGGTGGGGTTTTTTTTTTTTCACTTCTGGTGGAGTTCAGGCAAAGGTAACCTGGCGTGGAGCATCCCTATGCAAAAGCAGACTCTGATAACAAAGCCACCACAAGTGCCCTGGTCTTCCATTCAAGACCCAGTTCCCAGGCTGATCAAACTGTGGGCTCCACAAATGAGTAAGAGGGTGAACGTGTCACAGAAAGTCCTCCGTGGTCCATATCTTCGATGACCCAAATGCGAGTGGTTGGTTGTCATGGAGTTTCTACAAGTAAAAGAGAGAAAGCTGTTAAGTACATTCTGTTCTCTTGGGCTCCGCCTCTAGAAGCTGACACAGAGGCCCTGTGGCCATGGTCGACAGGAGTCTTTCAGCAAGATAACCCTGTTCACCTGTGAAAGCTGTTCCAGCTCCTCTAAGGGCGCCTATGGCTCTGAGAGGGGGAGGTGAATGGCTGGCAAGCGCTGACTCCTGCTCTGCAGAGCTGACAACAGACGTTTGCTGCAAAGGCCATCTCTTCCATCCCTTCTTCTCTGTCCCTGCAATGGGTCTCGCCATTACTTTCTGCTGGCTGGTACTGATCCATTTACTCTCCCAAGCTCATTCACTATTCCGTGACCACAAGTCACCTGGCTCCAGTGGACCCTTCTTTATCACTTGTTGATCATGCCCAACCAGCCACAGTGCCCCCAGTCACTCCCACGGACCCCAGGCTGCACCGGTCAGCCTTCCTTCTCATCGGGGTGGCCAGCCTCCCCATGGAAGGAGTGGTGCAGAGACCCTCTGCACTTCAGGGTTACCGTCTCTGTAGAAAAGCTATAACCAATCAGGTTACTCGCAAAAAAGTGCATGGCATCTTGCCAGTCAGCATCGTTTGTTTTATTGCAAAAACATTTTTTTTAATCTACATGGTTTCCTCATGATGCCTATTTTTCACGAACTTTCTGAATAACTCCCATCTCATGTTGGTTTGCCAGAACTGCTGGGATACACTACATAGTGTCAGATGGTATGATTTTTAATCTTTGATTTTTTTTTTTCTGGAAGGTGAAAGTCTAGAATCAGGGCTGCCAGGGCTGAGTCCTTCCAGGGGTTTTTGAGGGCTTTTTTTTTTTTTCCCCAGGGGCTCTGGCCATCTCTGGCATCTCTGGATTTCCTCTGAGTCTGTCTGCATCTCCCATCATGCCCTCTGTCTACAAAGGCCACGTGTTGACACTATAGAGATTTGGACTCACTTCCACTTCAGAATCTGGGAAGAACCACCATGCAACCCCCAACAGCCCAAGATGGCAGCTTTGTCCTCCAGTTCCTTGCTCCCCAACTCCCACCATGGACTGGGTTTCCCAGCATCTCTGCATGTCCTCAACCTGTCTCCACATTCACCTCTGGGTGGCTCTGGTCCCTGACTCCTCTCCGCTAAGTCAGTCCTCTGCCAACAGCTGCAGCCTCAAACCCAATTCTTCTTGACCCCCAGAGTCTGCACCATCTCCCAGATGGGCAGCCGCACCAGGAGAAACCAGCTTGCTCCCCAGAGTGATGCTGCCTATAGACCCTGAGGTGCTGTGTCCCTGGCTTCAGAGGCCCTGTTTTGCCCCCTCCACGTGGACCTGGGTCACACTTCTTCAGCCACTCCTTCCTTGGGGATTTCTATCCCTTCTCAGAATTATTTGAATTTCCCCTTACCTGGAGATCTAAGAGGCCTCCGGCCTGCCCTCTGGCTCCTTGGGGAGCAAAAAGATGCAGGGTGAGTAGCTGGGTAAAGCAGGGGACAGCCCACATCAGCTTGTACCTTGGGGCCCCAAGTTTTTTCCAAGTACTGCATTCTTGACCTTGGTCTACACAGGAAGAGGAGGGTAGGTGTACTCACTGGAGGGGTCTGGGTGTGTTTCATTATAACCCCTTGGCACCTGCACCCTGGATGGAGAAAAGAGTGTAGGTTCTTCAGGTGGGGTGTGAACCCAGAGCTTAAGGCACTGCGGAAAGATGGCCCAAGGACACCCTGAGGTGGACCTCTGAGAACATTATGATCCTCAGAGTGACCCCAAGGTCAGCAGCCTACAGACAGCAGCCATTGCTACTTGAATGCCTGTAACCCTCAAAGGAGCATTCACCAATGCTACGATTAAAGACAGCCGGTGCTTTTGGGTCCCTGGAGCAAAGAAGTCCTCCAGCCTCTCTTGGCTGGTGGCGGGATGCTCTGGACTGTGTGATGGGGCCATGGGAAACTCCTTGGGAGCCCAATACAGCAGGGAAAGTTTTAGGAGGGGAATTTGGGGCCATTATCTCTAGCTTAGAAAATTGGGTTTGTGTTAGCAGCAGAGTTAGCAGAGGAAAGAGCTTGGTGGCACTGGACCAGTATGAGAAGCTGGCCAGCCTCCAGAATGGGTCACTTGCAGACCTGCCAGGAAAACGCCTTTTCTCTTTCCCTTCCCACAACCTTACTCTTTGTGGACCCAGTGTCCAGCCACGTTCGTGTGTGTGTGTGTGTGTGTGTGTGTGTGTGTTTCTCATCTTCTAAATAAGTTTTTTTTGTTTTCTTTTTTAGAATTTACTTTTTTTCATCAGTGCCCATCACAATGACCTAATGGCTAAATCCTTGCCTTACAACGGCTGGGATCCCAGGTGTGTGCTGGTTTGTGTCTTAGCCACTTCACTTCTCATCCAGCTCCCTGCTCTTGGTCTAAGAAAGCAGTGGAGGATGGTCCAAGGCCTTGGGATACTGCACCCACATGCGAGACCTGAAAGAAGCTCCTGGCTCCTGGATTCAGATCAACTCAGCTCTGGCCATTGTGGCCACTGGGGGAGTGGCCCAGCGAATGAAACATTTTTCTCTGTCTCTTTTTCCCCTGCAACTCTGTCTTTCCAATGAAAATAAATCCCATTTTTATTATTCGAAAGGCAGTGTTACACAAAGTAGACAGAGAGGAGAGAGAGAGTTTCCTAACGCTGATTCACTTCCCAAATGGCAACAACTGGAGCTAAGCTGATCCAAAACAAAGAGCCTCTTCCGGGTCTACCACGTAGGTGCAGGGGCCCAAGACCTTGGGTCATTCCCTGCTGCTTTTCCAGGTGCAATAACAGGGGGCTGGATTGGAAGTGAAACAGCTGGGACACGAACTGACACCCATATTGGATGCCAGTGTTGCAGGTAGAAGCTTAAGTTTATTATGCCACAGCACCAGCCCCTTCTAATTAATACATGTGCCAGCACCCAGAAGCCCCAGGATCTTTGTGTATGGCAAGGACCTAGAAGAAACAATTAAACCCCACTCTACCACAACCAAACCAGCCATGTGATCCTTCAAGCACAGGGCCTTGAGTAGCAGAGGAGAGAACTGCTCATTCACTCTGTTCTGTGGAGTCTGGCCACACACCCAGGTTTTCCTGCCACCCTGTGCACCTGAGGGAGTCTCCAAATGGATTCCTACAACCCCTTGTCCCTGCAGTGACCTGTCTTCCCCTTGGCAGGTGACTCAGGCACTTGTTTGTAACACTGCATGAAGTGAACCCTTGCAATGTACATTCTGAAGCTGTGATGGATACAGCTATTAGCATGCCTTGAGAAGGGGCTGACTTTGGAGTTCACTGTCTCTATAGCACTCAGACTCACCCTTTGAGTACCAGGTCAAGGAGATGGAAGGAAAGCAGCGTGGTGAGCACAGGACAGCAGCAGGGTTTGGGCAGGCAGGGAGAAAGCAAGCCCCCTGGGAGGAGGACTCCAGGTTGGTGTGCCTGATGGTGCTTGGGTGTACAAGGCTGGGGTGATTAAGTCGAACCTGTGGGGGGAAGTGCTGGTTGAGTCGCTTAACGTCAGTGTTGCCTGCCTAGATGAGAGATGCTGCCATGTGTTTGTGCTAGGAGGAAGGCAAAGGAGGAGGATCTGGGGTGTACAGAGTATGATACCGCAGAAATAGAGGAGGTGGTGGTGGTCTCCCATCATTGTCATGTGCACCTGTCTTAGCTTCAGATCCCAAGTAGTTTCGGCAAGTCCTGTTGTGCTCAAGTATACAATGAGAACAACAACAACAAGACGCACATTGTGAGAGTTGAATTATACATGTGGTGCATACGTACCTGGCAAATATTTGACCAATGTCACCTGTCGCTGTTTGCGGTGAGATTGTAGTCACTGCAGGACTTGCTCCTGAATCAAAGGACCCTCGGACCTAGCTCCACCTGCGGGAGAGCTGCACAGGATGTCGCTGATCGCTACCTTGTACATTTTAAGAAGCAGGACACCTAGGGGCATTCCCACTGACAAATGTGACTCCTACACATACTGGCTCTGTTTCCCTACCCTGAAGCAGCCAGTCTTCCGGATCCCCCACTGCCCAGGGGAGTGCCTTGCACGTTTCAGAAACTTCACTTCCCTACTGCACATCTGCTGGGTTTTCCTTCCTCTCTCTCCTCTCTCTCTCTCTCTCCCTCTCTTCTTTGCTTCCTTTCTCTCCCCTCACTTGAAACTTCTTAAGTAGATTAATAAGGCTGAGAAAATTTCCCCAGCCATTTTTAACTGCGACGTGATTCAGCATGCATCTTATCATTCTTTTCTTCTGGATATGTGGGTTTTCTTGACATTTGGGGGACACAGTTCTATGTGTTTGTCCTGTGTCACTTCCTCTGATACTGGAAGTCAACTCTTATGATTAATTATATGGTTGCTATTTTTTTTTCTAAAGCCACAGTCACATTAAGGAGCGTTTGTCATGTACTTGATATCTTTGGGGTACTTTTTGTGGTTTAATATCTGAAAGCCAAAATTCAGAGGAACTGTCATTCCCCCTAAGAGCCATTAGCTGAATGAGAATGTGTTGAAAACCAGGAAGTCATTGAGAGGTGAGATTGAAAATGGATTTCCACAATCGGATTCCTGTAAATACTAGAGACCCTAGCTATTTAGTTATGGTCGAATTGTAGCTCAAACATAATCAGAAACCACATTATCCTTCTGTGGTATCTGAAGTAGACTCCTCCGTACCCGGCCCTTTCGGTTGTGTAGTAACATGTGTGAGAAGTGACAGAGGAGACCATGGGCCACAGTTACTGTGCGTGGTTTTGTTGTTTTCTCCGATAAGGGTGGGTGCCATCTGAAACGAGTAGTAGCCCAGACGACAAGTTAGTTGCTCTTGGAAAAATGAAGAGGGACCAAGAATCAGAGAAGAAGAAATGTGTGATAATGATGTCATCATGGACAGCAGGAATAACCGAAATGTTTTTGAGAAGAACAAAGTTGGAAGAGCCACATTCCTGATTTCAAAGGTTACCAT